ATAGGTTTTATCATTTACTGAGATGGGACATGATTTTAATTAGAGGAATTTTAAGTTTAGTTTGTCACCTTAAACTCCAAAGAACACTGTGGGATTCTCTTGCCATGGCAGCAAAGGCCCAGGTGAGGACAGGAGAGGAACTTGGGCTGTGATCTCACTAGTCAAGGAAAATAGGAAAAAGGGAAGAAAGGAAAGAAAGTGGAAAGTGAAGAGAAAGGGAACTCGCAAATACAGTACATTCTATTTTTGTTTTTTTGGTAACAGGGATGACCTTGCACTTGCCAGGCAGATGCTTAGGCCACTGAGCTAAATCCCCAGCCTTAAATTCTTTCCTTTATCCTTGCTTTCATTTCCATTCTCATTCTAATTGTGCATTCTTTCCCATGGAGTCCCCAAGAGCTGTTAGTCAGATATTAATTTTAATAGTTTAGAATTAAATCATAAATATTAGGTTTTTCTTTGGCATGGTAGAAAAGCAAGAGGGGGAAAAAAAGGAAAAAAGGCCTTTACTGTGGGCTTAAGAGAGAGGGCTGCAGTGGAGCACAAGATCCCCTGGAGACAGACAAAGAAGCCATGGGGTTTTATTCAGTTTGACAGAGGGTGGAGTTTGAAGGGGCGGGGGGGGGGGGGAATGACGTATTGACAGCTGATTGGGGGAATGTTGGCATGCGCGAGAAAAGCGGGAAATTTGATTTTGGGCTTGGAAAAGAACACGGAAGTCAACACTGGAGGGACCCACTGTGGCTCTAAGGTCTCTCACCATGTTGGGCAGGTGCCACACTGAGCCTGACAGAGCTTCCCACGGCGGAAGCAATCAGGAAAGAATCCTTAAAACAATCTTGCTAGCATAGCAATTATTAGTCTCACTTCTCAGAAAAAAAAAAAAAAAAAAAAAAAAAAACAGAAACAGAAACAAATTCTCCAGATCCTTTACTTTTATTGGGTATCTCTGATCTAATGCCCAAGACACTTACTTTTTGCCTATCAGTATACAAATTTGAGTGGTAGAATTAATCTCCAAACAAAAAAATTGCGTTAAAAATTTTTATTACTTGATAATCCTGTGCATTGCTGAAGGGAGACTGGATTTACAGCTGAGAAATAGTGAAGAACATGTAATTTATGTGAAGACACATGACTAATATCTGTTAAAAATAAAACTAAATAAAATCTGACCATATTTGGCCAAGAGGTACTGCAAGCACATGGCATAGTGCTAGCTCTATTCTAAGTTACACATAATTTATTGTCAAGGAGATTGCTGAATAAAAAGAATCAACAACACAGTTCATGCTTTCATTTCTGGTTTCCCTACAGACCTGAAAACCTACTTATAAGAAAGAAATGTTGCATTATTTGTACTTTAACCATTTAAAAGTGAAATAACATATATCAACCAATCAAAAAAATGTTATAATTCATCAAGGTAAAATCATACACATTTCCAAAAGGGTAACTGTTGGTGAAATTTCAGTTTCAAATAACAGTATCATAAACCTATCTAGACAATAAATGATACTTTGATTTTTATATTTTTTAGAAACTTTCATGTTAAGAACTTCCACATATGAAACACAAATTATGAGTTATGAAATACAATAGAAACTATTCCTTTCCTTATCTTACATTTTTTCTTCTTTATTATAAGCTTCCTAGTACTTGTATAATATAATTCAAGGTAAAATTTACTACTCAATTCTGGGAATACATTTTTCTTTACTCTAAATGGAGGAAAATTTTTTTCCAACCTGGCTCCTCACTATTATGTGTCAAGTGAAATGAAAGCCTACAAATTTACAGTTTAATTTCAGGTGATCGTATTTGATAAATTTTGACATTTATCTTTAATTTTTTATTGTATGCACTATAACTTCCACAGTCTATTTATCATTCCAAATAAATTATAGAAATCAAAATTGCAGTCTTTTTCAGCTCTCAGTCACTGTTGAAGAAAAATCTTGAAAGAAACATAAATTGAAATGTTGACTTTTTTAAGCTCATTTAGAGAGAATAATATTCAAATTTGTTCTTCAAACAAGGTTGAAATTAATCTTGATTTTCCATCAAGTGCACAGGAATTTTATAGTATAGTTTGTAATATGGTTTAATTATTCTAGGATGTAAGTCAAGATAAACAAGTCACTGGTGTGTTTATCTATAAATATAGCAGATGGTGTGGGATTCAGATTAGTTATCAATTGTCAGCTTTAATTTCATGGTTTAAAGCACTGTACACTTTATTATTTATAAACGATAAGGGAGAATCTTCGATGGGCTTCAGTAGCCAAAAAAAAAAAACCTTAGTAATATTAATCATTCTAACTGATACTTGGTATTCTCCTATGGTTCAATATTTAAGATTGTGGAGTGATTGGTAGACCATTCATATTTTCACTGAGATCGTTAATAGTATTCCCGGCATTGATTAATGATGACTTTGTTAATGAGTTCCATGTGTGGGTTAAATCTAATGCATGAGACGTTGCTTTCTAAACTTTTCTAGGTGAACATTTAACAATTATTGTTGACAGTTATTTATATGCAAAAGATAAGCTTAATTTATAATTAATACTTTTTAATGCAAAGATGAATCAAATTGTAATATTAATCAGACTAAATGTACTCAAGGGGAGAATTTCACAAAGGGAATTCATAACATCATTTGAATAGTCAACTTATGTGATATATATACATACATGGTAATATATTTAGGTTATATAGTTAGTCATATATATCCTTAAGTAATGAATCTGCCTAAAAATTCACAAAATACAATATATTTTAAAGATAAACAAAACTTCGTCATGCTCTGGATTATTCTAAGTATAGTACTTGAAATACAATATTTTATTATGACAACATATTTCACAAAAACTTATGTTTGACTTGATTAAAATTCATTCTTCTAAAAAAACCCACGATAAAAAATAGTATTACTTGAAATTATTCAGTATATCCATTCTAACCTTATAGTGGAAAAAAGTGAAAAATATTCATGAGCTCAACTTATTTATGCATTTATTTTGTTTGGTGCTGGACACTGAGCCCAGAGCTGTACCTCTGAGTTACCTCCCCAGCCCTTTTTCATTTTCCTGAGACAGGGACTTGGTCACTAAGTTGCCCAGACTGTGTTAAATTTAGAGTCCTTGTATCTCAGCCTCCCTATATTTTCATATGCTGCAGAATTTGATTCTCCAGTTTCTGAGAAGGAGAAGCTTCTCAAATATATGATAATAATATGTTATGCAACTTGGGCAAGACTAAAAGTTTGGACTACTTTAGCATTTTGTGCATGCAGTGAAGATTCCCTAGCCATGGAGCTACATCTGCAGCCCCACGTTTTCTAGTAACCCACTGTTACTTTTCTGGTTCCTGTCTTGAGATACTTCGCCACAATTCAGCTGAAAGTTTTACTACTGAAATTCCAGTCTGTCTACTGATTACCCTTAATCTAGAGCTCAAACCAGAGCTCTAGAAGCAGCCCTGATAGAGAAGGACTGTAGTGTACATCCGGCAGAAGAATCTTCCCTATCCCTGTTCACAACCTGATGTTGGCAAAAGTGTTATCTTGATACTTGACTTCTTAGTCATTTTTCTCATAGCTGGAACAAATACCTGACACTCACAATTTAAAGGTGAGCTTTATTTTCACTTGTGGTTGTAGTCCACAGTGCCCTTTCCCCAAGGCAGAATGGCACGGCGGAGAATAATCCACTCAAATCTTGGTAGCCAAGAAGCAGAGAGAGAAGCAAGAGGCCCACACTTTCAGGACGCCCCTCCAGCGACCCGCCTCCTCCTACCAAGAGCCACCTCCCTTAGCAAGGCAGCTCTGTGCACCCCAAAGCTATGTCTAATAGCCCCGAGGTCCCTGGGGACCTTCTAGATCAAAATAGGACACTTGATGTGCTCATTTCAGTAACAACTGTACACAAAATCTAAATTTGCAAATTCATGAAACATTTAAAAACCAAAGTCCCCCACAAGTGAAGAATCACTCTGTTTCTTCTTTCTTCATTTAATGCCTCCAGACTAATCAGAAATATCACCGTCACGAAAGAAATTGATTACTGGGCTATTGGTTGTGTTTTGCATTTGGATTTGTAATAGATCAAGTCAAAACTAGGGATGGTTTCTATGAATTTACAATTAATTTTTAAGATTATAACACCTTTTTCTTAAACAAGAAAAAGCAGAGCAGCGAACACATCTCTAGAAAAGAAGAGTTCTTAAGACCTGGCTAGTAGAAAGCAAGATTGTAGAGTTAGAGAAATACTGTATTTTGCAGAGATATGATCCGGAAGGTGTGGGCCTTGGAATGGGTAGGACTCACACCTCTGAGTGACAAAAGATAGGTTTGGTTGGTTTTTGGCTTTTATTTTATGAAAAAATAATGTAAAATTGCACAATGGAATAATGAGAGAATAACAATAGTTAAAACAGATGATGTGTTGTAACCTTCAAAGAAGTTAGGTTTTAACAGTAGAAAGGAAGCTCTGGCTGGTGGAGCAGTCAAAAGGAATTGGAGAGCAGGAAATGAGTGAAACCAGGCATTCCCACACGGCTCTTTGGCTCAGGTGTTCTGTTGTATGGGAACTCACTTGAAACAGTGGGTCACCGGAACATGAGAGACCCTGCGAAGCACATGAAAGCAATCACTCCTCAAGAGGCAGGGTATTTCACAGGATCTTACTGGGCAGCTTCTCATCCCCACATCTTGTTTTCTTAGTCTTATGTATGGTATAACGAGTTAGCTTATGAACTATCTTATGTGTTTTACTAATCATGGCTAGAAAATAAATAGTTTCCGAAAGGAAATTGTGCCATTAAAAGAGGAAACAGGCTGTTAAATTTAAGGGCTTTCTTGCTTTTGTGAAAACTTACCAGATTAAAATAGTGTCATAGAAATAAATCTCTGTTATGGTATTAAGCAAACAGCTGAAGAGATAAAAATAACATTTGATGTTTCCATACTTTTATCTCCTTATTATCATTTTTTCCAGATTATCCAATCCTTTCTAATGTCAAAGGTCTTCCATTGTACGAAAGAAAACATGCGAAGGAAATCACTTTCACTGGATTCCACTCTCCCATCAATGGTCAGTTCAAAATCAGTCCTCTCTAATACCTCTGTTAATCATTTCCTCTAAAACTTCAGTGATTATTTTTAAAATCTTCTATTCCTAGGAGAAGTCATTTATGCTGTCATGTGCATGACAGTCGTCTGTGGAGTCCTCCTCCTGGTTATGCTCAAACTGAGGTAACTGGATAGAACTCAGCAGGGAAGGTTGGGGAAGGGAAGGCTTACCTGTGCTCAGACTCATCCCACCACGGCTTGGCTCACTCTGGCCTGGGGTGAGCCCTGCTCTGGGAGACGTGCTGAATTGTGCTCTACGTGGGAGAACGCCACAGAAGCAGTGCCCTCACCGTTCACATGAAAGGGAATTGTGACCACAGAGGTCTTCGTCTCTTCAGTTTACAAGCACGCATGCACTGTGTGTTTCCTCCAAGTAAAATGTTACCTACTAGTCTTTCCTCTTCGTTTTCCTACAAAATTCACGTTGAATTTTGCTGTATTGCTTATCTGACATATTAGGAGGGTGATACACTCACACCCATGACCTATGTATACTTCACACAGTTCATATTTACCTGAAGAGATATACTCCACTCTAATATTTGATATACTAATGAACTGTTATGAGGAAGTAGTATACAAGCACTTAAGGAGATGTCACAGCATTCCCACAGAAGCACATCACCACTGCCTGACATCCCTTTCCCCTTTCTCAATCCTCCTTGGCTGCCTTCCTGGCTAGATGTACTAGTGTTGCTGCTAGCAAGTGAGGCTTTGAGATTAGAGATATACTAGTTTCCATATTTCTAAATTTCTAAGTTTTAAAATACTTGAACTTATTTTTTTATTGACAAATACAAGATTATGCTTTGTTTGCCTTTAATTTTTTAAAACCCTCAGGTTTAAAGGTTAACAATATTCATTTTCTTATTCATTATATACAGTGGTTCATGAGCTCAATTCTCTCCATTATTCTGGTTGCAAACCAAACTAGACCAAAACTGAATCAAATTTCTCCACAAGGTCCACATTGAACCTAATCATTGAATTTGATTTAGTTGTTGTCCAACTTGGATTATGACCAGCATTGTGGAAAGAATCAAGTTCAGGAACAAGATACTACTGTATAGCTATATGATGTAGGCATCATAAATGTTAGTGCAGAAATATACCTGTAGGTGTTTACTCATTCATAAGTCTATGCATATTCATAAAGTATGTTAATCAGATTCAGAACAGAGGAAACAGGACCACTAGGCATTTATCTCATGACATCTGACACCTGCAAAGACTGAGTCACGTATCCTCACCTACTCCTCCTCAAGGTGACATCTGAGGGTTCCAGGACTTGACAGACAGGCAGCCGCAGTGAAAGACAGAAGTGAGTGGTGTGTGCAGCAGCACGGGCTCAGGCACATGACTCCCACGTGCTTTGCCCCCGACATTCAGATTCACATACTTTTAAATATCACATAGTTAAAGAAACTGCCTCCACTTGTTGCATACAAACCTTCTAAATATTTAATTTGATGTTTACCAAAACCACTGCTAAAGCAAACTGCTTTCTTTCAAAGCCTTAAAGCTGAACTTGTGTAAGATGAGGTCTCATGGGTTTCAACATAGAGTTTGAAGGTCAATGGAAAAAGGTAGTCTTCAGATTTTATTAAACTTTCCTTTATATTTTTGAAAATATCTGAGAGCACTTTTATGTCACTTTGCTTTCTAGAGGGGCTAGGACATTGTTCCCTGAAACTATTTCCTAGCCCTTGAGAAAAACTTATTATAATGGTTCTTGACACATTCTTCCTTCTCAGCTACACATACACTGTATAAAGTTCATGTCTGCCAACAGGCCTGTGGGTCTTAAAACAGGGCATCGTGCAGCAGATCAGTACCATGCAGGTCACCGAATTCCCTGTGCAGTGGCCGAAACGCTGCCTTTCCTTCCTGCACCAGAAATGCATCACCTATTTGGTAACAGTCAGAGCACTGGTTTATACTATGGATGAAAGTCTTGGAATTGCTCTAATATAGAATTTAAATTATTCCCACTGGCAAGTAATTACATTTTAGTTAAAGAATTTTCAAATAATTTAAAGTTAATCATAATGTATAATCTGAAAGTTCTAGACCTGGTGCTAGGTAAATGGCAAAATAAAAGCTATCAGAGAAAGAACAAAGGCGTCAGCAACAGCTGAGCAGCGTTCTCCCACATCTGGAGGCAGGGTGCGCCCCAGTGAGCATCAGGCTGGTTAGGACTATTTCATGTGAGCACGCACCTTAAATAATGATTACGTTTCTGTGTGTATTCACTGGACTGCTAAATTGAGAGAGCCTGAGATCTTCAATTAAACCTGCAGAGAAACCAAGAAAAGCTTAAATATTTGAGAAAATAAAGGACCACTTAAAAATAGTATTTGGAAATCTTGTATGATTCCACAAGATGTATGACACTCCTTAGAAAGACCTTGTATTATCCTACTATTGGGACTCTATATTCAGAAATTTGATTATTTCCACCCTTGCCACAGAATCTAACCAAAAGTATAAGGACACACAAGCTCATTTGTCAAATGCTTGAAATAACATACTGCTGACTTTTGCTTTTGCTTTTATATAGAATTTCCAGAATTTCAAGTCAAACGAGGAATCCATCACCAATCCAAATATCTGGAGGAATCATCATTCACTAAGAGTCGTGGATTGTCATGTATCACTTTTTCAAAGCAAAGATTTTAGCCAGTCAACATGGTATCACAGGCATCACTAATAAGGAAATGTTTAGGGTGGACTTCACGATATTAGGTCATTAAATAGAATATCATGAGGTATATGTATGGCATGATGATCATAGACTCCTTGTTTTTCTTACAAAAATATTGAAGTAAGTAAGTATGGAAGATCTTTTACAATACAAATAGAGACTTGACGTTTCATTTGAAGACAAAACATGTTATCCAAACTTACAGTTTTTTCATGTATGAATGTTGCATCATAATTTGACATTATAAAGGTTTTTTAAAATCATTTTTGTAGGTTTCAACTAACTTTCATAAATAGAAACATTAGTAAGAAATATCCACCATGTATTATTTTTATATTCTTACCTATTTTCAAATCATTAGCTGTATAATTAGCTTCAGGTTCCTAAATATGTTTGGTTAGATGTGATTAATAATCAACAAGGGCATTAGACATTTTAAATTTGAAAATTGCTGAATTTTTCTTTTTTAACTAGATGTTTTTATACCCATAAAAAACTGTTAATTGAGAAAAATCAGAGAAAGTTACATTAACTAAGAAAATCCAGTGAGCATTTCAGTAAAGATACAAATTGTTTAGCAACTGGAGTTTTCTGTGGTAAACACAATAACTTGTACAATGACAAAGCAACACCTTACTTGCTAGTTTTTACATTGTTTCTAAACGGTTAATTTGACTTCAAAACATAATTGTAATTCAAACACTGAGTGAAAGATATTCATTAGCTAAATTATCTATATTTAATTATATAAAATATACATGCATGCATTTATATAAAACACATATATATACATATTCAGCTCTCTGCAATCCTATCAGTAACAGAATATGCTCACAATATGCTGGTATTATCTATAGTAGTACAAAGGCATAAATAATCAATAATTTGAGCATATCATACTAATAATTATTGATAAATTTATAATTAAAATTAAATATGTTCTGCCTTTTTGCTTTCTCTGTTAATAATATTCTTGCTCACTACATTTGAGATTAATTTGTCTAGAATTAAATTCAACTGAAAGTTAACTTTTGGCTGCTTGTACTCAGAGTAGCCGAAAAGCTGCCCTTTACCTTTCATGACAGAGAAGAAAAGGTCAGTGAGTCCCGGGTACGCCCTGAGGAGACCTCCTGGTTATTTTCCTCCCCACCGTAGTTTTCCTCCAGCTCTCTAGGTCTGCTTAAAATAAAAACGCCCTGACTCCAGTTCCCTGAAGGTTCATCCAATTTTGATGGCTTGCAGTCTGTCCTAACTTGGGAATCCCCTCTCTTTCCTGCTGAATCCCTGACTGACTGTACTGGTGACTAATTCAAGTTTGGATACATTGATTTTCCAACATCTGCAGGACTATACAATACGCTAAATGGGATCTGAACTAGAGCTGCTAAGCTTCAAGCTCTTCCTTAAGAGCTTCAAGCTCTAGTTCCATCTCCGTCATTCCAGCCAAGAAAGCCAGTTTACACTGCAGCCTGGCTTGGGACTCCTTCCCCAGGGAGAGGAGTGGCCAGATCAGCAGGCAGCAGAGAGCAGGGCCTCTCACGGGCTCTGGCCTGCCTGCCTGGAGATGCCTGTCCATGGCCTCCCTATGCAAAAGTATGATGTCTTGGCTCCAGCTGTTTCTGCTTATTTACCCACTATCTGTTTCGTCTGCACAATTCCTTCCTTCCATTCTGCCCTCAAGCATTCCAGAGAGCCAGGAGGCAGCTGCTGAACCTCAGCAAGGCGCATTGCCTTTCAGGAAGGACTTTAGGGCGGGAAAGAGCGGGACTGTGCCTCAGCCCAAGCCGGAGGACAGGTCTGTGCCTGCTTAGGAGTCCCTTTATACAGGCCCTGAAAAGCAGATCTGCAGTATTAACCTGTACCCTATTTTTTGACATATTTGGCACAATGACTATAAATGACTTAACAAATAAATAAGGAAAAGAAGTAGGTAGATCTCTTTTCAAATGTATGGAAGAATAAGGGAAGGAGGAAAAGGGAGAGAGGGGAAAAAAAGAGGATGGGAAGAATAATGGAAGGGAAAAAGTAATGATGAAAATAGAGCTTTTGTAAATGGGAAAGGACCAAAAGTTGGAAGAAGAGATTTGGGAAAAAATAGGTGATTAAAAAATAAAAAATTAAGACACATTGTATACGTGCACTAGTTTCCCACAGTCAGTGTAACACAGTAATTATGTATCATGAAAATGTATTAATAAAAAATTTAAAAGAGAAGATAGGCAACATGGGTTCAGACTAGTGTATTTCGTCACCTTGAGTTTCAGTTCTATTTTCCATTTAATATTTGGAACTAAATGACCCACATCTTACACAGTGCTTCTTTGCCTGTGACAGTACTTGAACTGCTCCCGTTCAGGATTCTTCTCTGCTTATTAACTTGTCTGGTAGTTAAACAATCTGGGTTGCTTTTTTCAGCAAAAAGAAATGCATCTTCAGTGAATATCTCCCCAGAAACTTGGGGATCATTCATTTATCAGGAGGGAAGAACACGGAAGCCGTGCTGCAGTGAAGGACTCCATTACTGTGGTGCAGCCTGGCTTTATCTTCCTTTCTGGAAATGACATTTTATACAAAACTGTTTTTTCTTATGGTACTGGAGATTGAACCCAGGGCCTTCACATTGTACTACATCATCAGCCCCCTTCCCCTTGCTGTTTTGGTTTTCTGAGACAGGGACTCACTTTGTGGCCCAGGCTGGTTTTGAACTCACGGAGATCCCCCTGCCCAGCCTCCCAGGTGCTGGGATTGCAGGCGTGGCCCACCACACCTAGCCAATCTCTGACTGTTTTTATTTTTTATTTTGAGATAGGCTTTTGTTAAGGTGCCCAGGTTGAGCTCCAACTTGTGATCTTTCGGCTTCAGCCACCCTGGTGCTGGAATTGGAGGCATGCACACCACACCACAGTGCCGAGGTATTCTGTAGAGGGCTGATTTACCTTGTGGACATTTCCCCTCATTAGCTTGGAAAGCTGACAGGGAGGAATGCTTTGCAAATAGTAATATGAAAGAGTATCAGAGGTCAGTGATGTCAAGTAAATCACCATTGAAGACAGAAGGCAAATGCTCAAAGGATAAAAATAAGCTACAAAATATAAAGGAAAACAATGAAAAATTAAATTATACACATTTGGGAGTCACAGATGTCTGTTAGGGCCATGCTTCAGACATACACTGCTTTTTCCATGATTTAATCAACGGGGTCCAAGGTAATATAGAGGATTAAAAGTTAAAATTACAGATAATAACAGGAGGAAAATAAAAATCTGTTAATGCTTCAACAATAAAGAAATTTGGCAACAAATTTTGAAGAGGTTAATAGAGTGAGGATCTACGTAGGAGTTTCATGGTTGCTTTGGAATTTGCTTGTGTGGAAAGAGGAAGTGGTGTCACAAGTGAAGAGATGTGAGCTTGCGGCACTGCAGGCTGACAGTGCCGGACTGCAGGAGGGTCTTTCATGGTACCAGGAAACACCCTCACGGGAGGCCAGACAGCTAACTACCCTCTCCTACTGTGTTTGTTTTATTTTAATCCCCATACTAGACATAAAAGAAAATGCTGGTTCCTAGAGTTATTTGGCTGATTAGTTTATGAACACTCCAAATCTTCTCCATCATAAATACTAATTTTATTTAATTTATTTTTGCTTTCCTCCCAACTTGTTTGCTTTTCTTCTGGTTTCATAAAGAACAAGAAAACAAGTTCAGGACAAAAAAAAATCAGTGAGCAACAAGAAGTCAATAGAGTGTTCCTAAGATGCACAATAAACATTTAGGTCAACTTTGTTTTGTTTTGTTTTTATTTTTGTAACTGATACTTAAAAACATATATTTGCACATATTTATTAGATTTATTAGACTTATTTATTAGAAATGTCTGATGTTTTACCATAAGTATGCATTGGATAATTTTTAACAGTGTGGGAACATCTACCTCTTCAAATAATGAACATCTCTTTATACTGAAAATATTCGGAATCCTTTCTTCAAACTTCTTGAAATTCAACTGTAGTATTCGTATTGAGTCCTCTGCTGCAGAACGGCAGGCCAGGACTTACTTCTCCTGCCTGTGTGTCAGATTATACCTGGTTTTCAGCTGTTGCCCAGGGCTCCCTCCCTTCAGCCCTTTCGTCTTCCAGGAGATAGCACTAAAATTCTGCAGGTGAAATCACGAGGTACACACCTTCTGTATCTGGTCATTTCCCCCTTAGGACAATGTCCTCTGGTTCTACCCATGTTGTAATACATGGCAAGGTTTCTTAAACTGTAAGAACTGAAAAGTATCTTTCCCATTTTGTGTCCATGTCACGTTTTATTCATGTAGTCATCAGCTAGAATCTCCCATCTCTTGGCTACCGTGAATAGTGTTGGTGCAAATACAGGACTGTACTTGTCCCGCTTGTGTACTGATTTAATTTCCTTGTATATGTGGGAGTAGGATTTCTAGGCAGCATGATAGCTCTGTTTTAATTTTTTAAGCAAGTGACATGATTTTTCATAGTGGATGTCTTACTTTTTTCTCGTCGCTGAAACAAAATACCTGAAGCCCAAGTTGGGAAAGGAAAAGTTTATTTCTTACAGCTTTTGGAGGTTTCAGTCCACACTCAGTTGACTCCAAGGCAGGCAGGCATGGCGGGGCTGCAGTTTATGGGCTGCAAACAGCAAACAGGAACCAGCAAAGAGAGAGACACACTTTCTTCCTGCCATTACATCACATTCTCGTACCACCCCTTTGTGGGTGGGGCACTGACACCATCAATATAAGCACTAGACAATGAACGAATAACAAATGCACAATTCAAACTCATGAGGCCTGGGGGACACAGACATAAAACATGACAGTGGATGAATTAATTTATATTACCACCAAGAGTGTGCAATATTCTCTTTTCTGTACATCCTTCCCAGCAACTGTTACCTTTCTCTCTTGGGTAAGAACTATTCTTAGAGGATAAGGTTTTGATTAGTATTTCCTCAGTAATTAGTGATACTGAACATTTTCTCATGTGCATTGGATGTTTTTATGTCTTTTTTGAAACACATCTAGTTCAATTCACGATCATTTTTACATTACATATAATGTCTCACTTAAAAATAGTCTAACAAAATGCTAGTTCAAGTAATAGTTAATAAACAGCAAAGAGGAAATAAACATTAGAGATGAGAAGAAATGAGATGTGAAAAATTTGAAGAGAAAAACTTTAAAAGAAAAATAGCTGCTACCAGGCACTGAGGAGTGTGCTTCCTTCCCTCTCTTTTCCACTCTTACGTTATCTAAATTGGATAAAGAAGAGTGTTACCACAGGAAAGTGCAAACCACATGCTAAGTCATCTGCACGTCAGGGTTTGCAGATCCTGGGTGACTCCAACTGCCTCCGTACTGTTCTGCAAGTCATTCCACTATCATGGCCACAGATCAGAACAGACAATCTCAAATCAAATACTTCTTCCATTGTGGCTCAAGGTAAAATATAATTCCTTTGGTTAAATTAACGTGACACAACTTTCTAAGTGAGAAATAGTTTACTCCTTTTAGCAGATGACCTCTTTGTACCTCATTGACACTCAACCTAATACCTAAATGCAGTCCTCTTTGTGTTACAGCTGCTAGAAAGCTGAGGGGTTCAATTTGGACTAACCCTTCGAACAATGTTCTTGATTTTTCAGTTTCTATAACATTTTAATTCTCTAACCTATGCCTGTATTTGCTTCCCTTGGTTGTCTTCCTTATTTATAATACGTTTATTAGAAATAGATAATC